GTACAATTGGGAACTCTTTACTAACTCAGAGTGAGGGGTTGGCAGATACATGTTATGCTCTGCGTTCCTAATTGGATAGCCATAACTGGCCCTAGAGAAATACTCGATACGTGCTTGCGAACTAGGCAGACGGATTCGAGTATGAATAGGGAAGGAAGAGTTAATATTTTATATCTTTTAAACAAGTCCCGGCAGTGAGCACGACTGGTTAGCCTCAGTGAATATCGCACAGCTCTCTTTTGTAATTTGAAGATACGCTCAAATTGAGTCGCACAACACGCACCCCAGAATGGAAGTGCGTATCGGAGATGCGACTCAAAAAGGGCATAATAGACTGTCCTAGATGTTGACAAATTAAGCACATTAGCAACTGATCTAAGTGCGAAACAGGCAGAACTTAATTTTTTAGCTAAAGCATCGATGTGCAAATCCCATTTTAAATAGTTGTCCACAACAAGGCCTAAAAATTTCACAGAATCAACGACGTCAATGGTGGTATTATCAAGTTGAAAAGGTAGCAACGTACTTTTATATGATAAGACTTTAGTTTTAGAGACGTTGAGACACAGATAATTAGAATCGCACCATGTTTTTATGTTGATTAAGTCACTGGAAATGGTTCTATGAAGTGCCGTGGTGTCCGGGCTGCTCCAAGTGAAACAAGTATCAAGTATAGAATATAATGCCTTGTGATATTTCCCTGCGACATTCCATGGCAAACGAATTATGCTCTATCGAAAAAAAACTGTTACATTTTCCCAATCCGGGCTCATCGCTATTGGAAACCGATACATCTGCCGTTTTTGCGCGCTCTTTGTTTTATTTCGCGCTCGGCGTCGAAAACGGGCGTCAAATGGCGGAAGCGCGCGACCAATGGGCCGACAGCGGACCCAATCGTTTCCGGCGTCGCGACGCATTAGACGCCGCGTTATTTTGACGCCCGCTGACAGCTTGCCAGCGCTCTCGCCTGTACCGCGTTCATTTGTATTCCCTTTCGCGCCGTCTCGCTCTTTTTTATCTGTCGATTGGAGCTCTCTCTTTCTATGTTATCGCTTTATTTTTAATTCGTTTCCAGTGTGTTTAGAAGTGATTCCTAAAGCCTCATATTTATCAGCCTGTTCCGCTGCAACCCATTCAAATCTATTATGTTCCTCTTCTGATCCTTAGGTTATATTTTTATTCTAAGCCTAGCAAATTGGAGACTGAACCCTCCATATACTTCTCTATCAATGTACCTACTACAAAGAACCGCACTTTACCGCAACCGCTACTGAATAAAAAAAAACGAAAAAAAAGTATCTAAATAACTGGGAATTGATGTAAGTATACCGGGTGTTGCATCGTTGAGCGGAACATAGGAAATCCCATGTAAATTTTAACGGGGTCAATAGATATTTTTTATTAGCTCGTTTACGAGTTATCGCCGATTTCTTTTTAAATATTTCTCCTTTCTTATGGCCCTGTATTTACTTATGAGCACCAGTCAAGGTAAAAGATAACTGTCAAATGAAGTTGTCATTTCAGAAATTTATCTATTTAGTGCTTTATTATTATTATTAAAAACTCAAACCTACATCGAAAATATTAGCCATGAATTACACTACCGAAGAAAAAGTATTGATGATTAAATGGTATTATCAAGGAAATAGTTATCAAAAGGTGTCGGACATGTTTGCTGCTCTGTACCCGAATAGACCGATACCTGGAAAATCTACAATAGCAAGCAATATCCAGAGATTTGAGACCAAAGGTACCCTAATAAATAACTGCAGATGTGAAGCAAGGCAGGAACAAAAAGAAGATGCAAGAACTGATACCGACTTGGAAGTTTTATTGTGCGTGGAAGAGAACGATGGAAAGATCAGCACAAGGAAACTTGAGGATGAAATAGGAATAGATCGCACTACAGCGTTTCGAATTTTGACACGACATAAATACTATTCCTTCAAATATGAAAAGCACTAAGAGGTACGAGATGGGGACGAAATACGGCGGCAGGCAGGTTTTGTTTTGAATGATGGAAAGAGCAAACACGGATAGGGAATTTTTCAAAAACATATGTTTCACTGACGATTGCACGTTTACCTTAAATAATGAACCCAATGTTCAAAATTATCGGTATTGGAACAAAGAAATCCAACACAGGTTTGTCGAAACAAGGACGCAATATCCTATATAACTCGTAAACGAGCTAATCAAAAATATCTAAAGTTATTCTTTTGAATGTTTTTAGTGCTCTTCAATAAACCTAAATAGAATTATTTTCTAAAATAATTAGGGAAGCCAATAATTGACCCCATTTAAATTTACATGGGATTTCCTATGTCCCGTCCGACGATGCACAACACCCGGTATATATTAATCGGTTTAAAACGTTCTACGTCTTCCGATGCCATCTCTCCATGCACCGTCTCCGAGAGCTCTTTCCTTCATAAAAGTCTCAATCCCTTCCTGCCAACTTCTTCTCGGTCTACCCAGCTTTCTTCTTCCTGCAGTTTCCACTTTATAATTTGCTTATTGGTATTCATATTTCTACCATTCTTTGGACATGCCCTTGCCATATGAGTTGTCTGTTCTTTATCTCGTCCACTATTGTATGTTTAACTTCCATAATCTCTGTTATGCGTTCATTAGTTATTCGTTCGAGTTTTGATTTGCCTGCTGGTATAAGTAAATTTATAAAAGAAAGGACTTTTTCAAGTAAAAGTTTTCAAAATTCACCCAATAAACGTATTTTTTAAGCCATTTATCACTTTATATATACAGGGTGGGTCTTAAATAAGTGCAAATATTTTTAGAGGTGGTATATTTCGACCCCAGAAACACGATTATGAGATTTTTTGGTATTTTTTGGAATTTTTTTTAGTGTTTAGTTAAAATACACAATTTCTTGATATGGCAACATAGATAGTAAATTAAATTTACAAGAAAGAAAACCCAGAAAAGATCAAATGGTTCTCAAAATTTAAGCAAAAATCATTTTTTTGGGGGGGAATAAAATAACTCGATTATTTTGGACTTACTTGAAAACCGGTAAAAAGAAAATATGTTTCTTTTATCGAAATCTACCAGCTCTGAAAATATTTGCGCTTATTTAGGACTTATCCTGTATACCGGGTGCGTCTCAAAAGTGCCTCACCCCTATAACTTTTTCATTTTTTCAGATAAAAAAAAGAGATTTGTTATGTTAGTATATGACATAAATTAGGATTGATTGACGTCTTCAATTGTTTTCGGTCACTTCCTGTTTCACCGGAAATGACTACAACTTTTAAGTGACACCCTCCGTATTTTTTATTTTATTGAATAGAATATTATAAGACATATCACATGTCAACTTTTGACACTTTTGCATATTTGAAATTGTAACATTCGCTTTATAAAGACAATTTGACTCGAAATACCAAGTGTGTGGTACCAAACTATTTGTAAAAAAAGCTTTTTTCAAATATGCTACTGAGCCACCCTTGTTCCGATTAAATAAAATTGAGATATATGACTAAAAATACGATTTGGGCATCTTTACTTTGGCCAGAACAAGACACTAAAAACATTAGATGATCAAGTCTATTTCAATTTATCATTCAATTCTAATTTATGTCATATACCAACATACCAAATCTCGTTTTTATCTGACAAAATAAAAAAAGTTATAGGGGTGAGCCACTTTTGAGAGACAGCCGGTATATTATGTCAAATTTAACAGATTCCTGAGAGCAACAGGTTAGATTTAATTATGGCATTTTTAGTCTGCAGTTAATTGCAATCTTATCTAAACCCCTTGTAATAATCCTGTTAAAATTAATGTTAATCCCTTTTCAAAAAAAATCAAGAAATGACCTAACATTTGTACCGTTCTTTCTCCAATTCCTGCGGCAAGACCATTCCATTCTGCCTCTCAGGAAATTCCTCTTGTTACTGCGTTTTGTACTTGTCATCCAACGAATGCTTCGACGCATTCCACTCTTGGGTATCTCTCGGTTCAATGCGAGCTTTCTGGCGGTATTTCGATTATTTTTCAGCCTCGCAATGGTATGCTGAAGATTTCCTTGCATAACGCCGATATTCCTGCGTATATATTTACGTTTCGAGTCATTCTTGACCGTTATCATCAATTAATTTGACTGGTTTTAATAGTATGGTCTAGATTATTTATATAGAGTAAAGTTGTAGAGGGTTGCCAACTCTAGGGTTCAAGGGTACAAAACCATTTTTTTGAAACCTGGCCCAAATATTATCAATAATTTACCCGAAAGATATGTAAACGTTATGCGGTTGGTAGTCTTTCTTATTTTCTTAAAAGTATTTATACTCAAAACATGCTAAAATAAAAAAAAAAATATTTCCAAATATAAGCTACCAGTAGGTAAACATAAAAAAGCTAAACATGCGTCTCTTCCAAGAACAGTTAACCTAATAGGATTGCTCATCCTTATAAAACGTACGTTCGCCTCTTCCCGCGCTTCAGCTGACAGTTGTGACGTCATTGTAGTCCTTGTCATGATAGTGTGTATTATTAGTTGCCTATGGTAAACTTTTAAAATTCAATCAGCAAACGACACGAAAGAGAATTAAAAAATATTGACTCAAAACTGACAACTAAAGAGACAGCTTTATTTATTTGTCAAATTACATAGAAACCAACGCCAACCCAGCACAATATTTTTTCTACTCGTAATAAATTCCTTGAAATAATAATTCCTGAATATTTTTTAAAACGGAACTCGCCATGGAAAAAAATATTGTTTTATACACTACGATAAAATACCATTTTATCGTCTTTGCTATTCTTAGGTGGATCTATTAAAATAGTTTATTACAGAGAGGCATCTGTAATTGGCAGATAACCAGTAATATTTGAATCAATTTGTTTTTGTAGCCACATATCAGAATAAACTTTCAAAAATGTCATTTTTATATTATTACCATGTATTTTTTTTAATTTTATCAATGTTTCTTTGGAATTCGTATTATATTAATCATATTTTTATTTGTTACAGGTTCATCAATGCGAGGAGAAGAATAGTACAACCTATGATAGACCAATCAAATCGAGCAGGTAAGTCGTTCAACTAATTTTTATTATTAACCACCGAGTCGTTTATAGCGTTCGCTCGAGAGGCTTTCTCAGCAATTCCATCGAATCACGAAGCGTTCCTCTATCTACGGAATGCCTTACAACACTTATCTGTGGCCATTATCGCGTTGCTATCTTCCTCACCGAACCGTGACGGAACCATGAGCTCGAACAATTCGATAAAAAGATATTTCTGGTGTTTGTATACACACGAAAAAAAAATCTTTGTTATAAGTATCTTTTTTTTTTCGATGAGGAGGGAAAAAATCATGCTTCAGTGCAAAGGGTGTCTATAGATTTATGATGCTCGTTGTGTCTCTTCCATCTCTTTACAACTTAGTATATTTCGGACTATCCGATATACTAGCTTTTATTGTAGTGTATTGATAGTGTATGTTCAACATCATCATCTTGACCACAGTAGATGCATGATGCACTATCAACCCTTCGACGATCGTATAAATATTTTCTAAAACACCCATGGCCAGACAATGCTTGACTCATGAAGTAATCGACTTCTCCATATTATTATAAGTATCTACCTACTGCGAAAGAAACAGTATTTATTTATAAACCCTAGATCATATATACTTACGTGGATAAGTAAATCACTACGGAAACTGTCGCAAACATATCAACGACTTCCATTTATCTTCTTTTTTCGTTGCACACGCGGTGTTTCTACTCTATCTATCCTTGTCGAGGACCCATCGTCCACGCGCCAAATTTGAACATTAATTTTAAAAATTTAATTTATAAAATGCATATATTTGAACAATAAATTGAATGTTTACTTTAAAAAAAATAAATTATATAAAAAATACATTTAGCCACTCCGTACGAATATCAATATTCTTAGGAAATCAAACCAGAAAGTATACCTGTGGTTTAATATAAATAAAATAACAACAGAATACTTGCCTATGAAAAGATAATTCGGGGACCTTTATATTAGAACTTCCACACACCAAACACTTTCTAGTCATTTTTACGAGTATTTAGAAAGTCCAATAGGACGATATAATAATATACAATCTGCTATAAGGACGATACCGTCCTTATAGCAGATTATATATATAACAGATAACAGATAACATTCAGTCACAGAAAAGTTCATGAAAGAAAACGCCCTGCGTAATATCTTCTGATGCTCGTCAGCGAGTTATGTCAGTAAATATCTCCAATAAAAATGAAGCTTTTGAGATGAACTAAAAAACAAACTATTGAGAAAAAAACCATCTTAATGATAAAGTAGTACAATCGTTTAACATAGCCATCGTATTTCCTTAGTTCTTTCTCTCAGTGTACCCCACTCTCATTTTACTTTAAAAAAGATCAACGTTCAACCTGACTCAGCCATACACCAACCGCTGTCGCTACTATCACCGCGCAAAGAAACAAATCAAACACCAGCTCTATACTTACATAAGCCTCTAGATCGATAAGAGAGCACGAGATATATCTCGATATCGAACAGAACATAAAGAATAAGGTTAAGAAGAAGTGACAGGCAGGTACGCGAGAGGAACAATATAATCTGTGGTCGCTGCGATTCTTTGTTTGGAAGGAGGCGTCGAATACGCGGAGATTTCGGGAGATAAATGACGAAGGAATCAGGGGATTTAGTGGAAAGAGAGTTGAGGTTAGATCGGTAATTATTGATAAAGGTATTACGAAGAGATCGAGAAGTTTGTATGATCTGTGGCATCGGGGATCGATTAAGGTATTAAATCTGAGGTCACGCGGTTTTTTTTTTTTCACACACTTTTGATCAAATTTAAAATGTTATGCCGGGTCCAGACCAAGCAGACAAAACAATGACAAGACAGAAACATTTATATTTTACGTCAAAATTGCGACAAATCCAAAACATTTCTGCGACATTTTTGTCTCATTTTTGTTTTGTTTCAAAATTCGGAGACTTTTCAATGTCCCGTCTCGAGTCGGTAAAGATCAAAGTGTCTATGTTTTGTTCGTATACTAAGGGCTGGCAAAGGTTAGTCTTGGGTCGAGATTTCCGTATGTAAGAAGAGTACAATGGCGTTTATAATGTACTAAACAAAGAGAAGACAGTAAACACGTTGCCAAACGTATGAAATAAACCGAGAAACTGTGCACACCGCTAAGAGACGTGGAAGGGGATATAGCAGATTTGTCGCAGTTGACCGGTCGACCCAATCAATACCTCTGTCAGTACTTAAAGTTCTAGGGAAAGGTGTACGTCATGCATTCAGCTTCACGATTTAATTACGTCTCGTGATACTTAATTTGTTTATTTATTAACGAGTTGTTGTAATTTTCCCTATTGCTTGAATTTTTTGAAAAGTGCAAGCTAGAAACACTTGCATTTTTGGTAAAAATAAGTGGAATTGAGTGGGTATTCGATAGTGGTCGCGCTATTAGAACTCTGAATTCAAAAATCAATATTTCGAAATCTTTTAGAAATAATAGATTGTAATTTTTTCAAGAACTTTGCTAATATTTCTGCTGTATTTTTTTTGTAGACAGTATGTGAAAATCTTTATCATTAAAAAAATTACACGATTGCTGAAAATTGCTATGCTCTAAAAGTAAATGGATGGATTGTTTACAATTTTTGAATGGAAAAAACAACCTTATCGAATTTTTCTTATGTAAACATATTGTAAAATATCCGATCTTGAAAATAAAAAAAAGTTTCAATATCTAAAGTGGTTCTTGAGTTATGGCCTGCATGTCATTAAGGAACACCCTTTAGATGCACTTCCATGGCGCACAACAAAAAGCCCCCACCCTACTTCCTTCATTTCCAAGTCAATCTCCACTCTCACACCGTCATCACTCTTTTTTTATCAATTCCCCAATAAGAGTATTAACGAAATACGTACGATTTCCCGAATTAGCCTCTCCTCATCTCTCTCACATCCCCACTGTTCCCCATTCTTCCATCTTCCTCGTTTTCCTTTATCCCCAGCCACGAAATTCCGTCGGATTTTCGCCGCGTAGCCGGTCCCCCTTCGTCCCCCTCGCACCCTCCGCCTATGCGTTCGACCCCTACGCCCCTGCTTCGGCCGATTGTGTGCCTCCGGCGTGATGGATTGGTCCGCAAGGGTCAACGGCTGCCGCCATTCCTCTTCGGCGCTGTCTTCGGCAGCAGGAGCAGCTCGGAGGACGGAGGTCCTGACTGTACTTCCGATGAAATCGATAGAAAAGCTGGAGGAATGTGAGGAGGAGGGTTGGAGAGTGAGGGAGGTACACGATTTTGCACTTACGGTGGTCGTATCGTATCGGGAACTGGTAAAAGAATGAAAAAAAACGGGTAGAAGGGAGTACCCAAAGTCCGGGTATGGCAATAATAAACGGAGAATGAATACAGGGTGTTTTTTACTGAAGTGTCCGATAGTTCACATGGTAATTTTTACACTCTAGATATTTTTATGAAACTGTGTACAGGGTGGCTCGAATTCGACGCTCATCATTGGGATTTCGAAAACCGTAAGAGATACAGGATCGGTTAAATGGAGGCAAAGTTGCGCAATTTGATGCTAATAAAATGCCATATTGCATTTATATTTTTTATTTTTTTTTGCATAAAATATTCTGAGTGATGACGTTTTTCAGTCATACGATATTTTCTATGCAAAACATTGATGAGAATGAATATCGACTAAATATTTTCGCGAAGAAAGCCAAGTAAGTGTGTCACTAGGCAAGAAATTGACCACCCTCCAGTTTGGAAACACCCTGTACACGACGTAAAAATCACAGTTGAAATGGACTCGTCCATTTAATTTCTACTTAAACACATTAAGAAATACAAGCCTTATCACGAGTTTCAATTAAGAGAAACAAAGAAAACCCTTTCTGAGGGTAAAGCTCCGTCTCCACGGCAAAACAATAACGGACCCGATTTTTTATCGGCACTACACGGAATCGAACTTATGAATTTACCCTTCGGAAATAGACCCGACCAGCCAGCGTCCCGCTATATCTGCCTCTATCTCCGCGACCAGCAAAGGTAATTTCTTGCCGGCGATTCGGCTAATGCAACCCATGAATCTCGCCCGTGCCGGCGGCGTTCGCATCTTATCGGCCCAGCTCGTAATGAATCGAGATTCCCATTAGGGCTCGGACTCGTCTTTTTATTCTCTTGTTCTTGTTTCTTCGGCTCTCCCCGACTTATTCCATTCTTTCGACGAGCGATACGAGCGAGAGGAGTACGGTGTACGCGATACGAAGAGTAAGTGGATAGTCGTGTACGTATACTGTTACGAGTTTTTCGGAAAATCTCCCGCTTTAAAGATACTCGTATGTATACCTCCTGACCGGTTTTGTGTATTTAGATGAGCCTATGTGTGGCTTTGTCGAACTGAGTAAAAATGATTCAGATTTAAATAGAACATTTAAAAAACAAATTCTCATGCTATTCAATTTTCATACCAGTACTTTTTACTTTTTAAGCAATCAACAGTCAACAGTATCGCAAAACAATTTCCGATACACGTGATCCACTTTGAACGATAAGCGATGGAGACAGCACTGCCAGATTGTGATGGATTTATGAGATGAATCTTAATTTAAAATTGACAAACAATATATTTATTATATCATTTTTTAAAGATTTTTACCATTTATGTTTAATTTAATAACTACTAATATTTTAGTAATTATTTGATTTATTTGTTTTACAGCTTATTTTACTTATTACGTATTGACAAAAACTAGTCCATCATGAAGATTATTTTAAAGGTTTTTATGGGTTATTTATTTATTTATTGATGTATATCTTACAACGCCATAAGTGGCAACGATTCATTCAAGCAAAGATTCAACAAAAACACGATATTATACAGAATAATTACTGACATTAGGATAATTGTCAAATAATAAACAATAACGTTGCTGAACACGGCGCCATGTGACCAACATAACGATAATAAAATTCGGTTTAAACTAATTTTTGCACCTTTAATCTAAATAAAAAATCTGTTACAGTAATTTCCTCAGTAAAATGAAGGGCTGCTCGGTATCTTAAATTATACAACAAATTTAAACATTTTTGCCAAAATTTCATTTAGCCAGGTTTATAGACTTTAGTGTCAATGTCGACACTAAAGTTTTTTTCAGACGTCACAAATAATTTTTTAAACAATTTTAAACGTTGCAAATTATATAAAAAAAATTAAAAGGAATTCATTGAAATTAACAAAAAGTTTATTAACAATTCGTTATGCTGAAATTTGAAACCAAAACTATTAACACACTTGTCACGGTTAGTGTCCAAGGACAGCGTCTAACACCACTAATAGTGTTCTCTCCTCACGCAGGTCCCAGCGGAGCGTACAGTCCCGACGGAGCGATGGGTTACATGATGGGCGAGCAACAGATGATGCACCGGCCGCCGGGCGATCCCGCCTTCCACAACCAGTACGCGCACTATCCCGCCGAATACTACGGCCACCATCTGTGAGGTAAGAAGATTCAGCTCAGGCGCACTAGTTAGGAGTAATCCGATGCACGCTTCCTATTTTGTTTGTACGGATCATTAGTCTTTTAGTAGTCTCATGTCAATGTCATCTGTCATAGCTTAGATAGCAAAAAAGTGCACAATTGCACTAGTTATGAGTAATCTGATGCACACTTCCTATTTTGTTTGTGCAAACCATTAGTCTTTTAATAGTCTTATGTCAATGTTATCTCTCATAACTTGAATTGCAAAAAAATTGCATAATTGCACTAGTTAGGAACGATTTAACGCACGCTTCCTATTTGGTTTGTACAAGCCTTTAGTCTTTTAATAGTCTTATGTCAATGTCATCTGTCATAACTTGAATAGCAAAAAAATTGCATAATTGCACTAGTTAGGATCGATTTAACGCACGTTTCCTGTTTTATTTGTACAAACCTTTAGTCTTTTAATAGTCACATGTCAATGTCATCTGTCATAACTTGAATATAAAAAAAACTCAAGCTCACTAGTTAGGAAAGATTCAATGCACGCTTCCTGTTTTATTTGTACAAACCTTTAGTCGTTTAATAGTCTTATGTCAATGTCATCTGTCATAACTTGAATAAAAAAATGCTCAATTACACTAGTTAAAGGAATTTTAACAGATGCTTTTTATTTTATTTATGCAAAAGTTTAGTCTGTTGATAGTCTGTTGCCAGTAGCATCAGTTATAACATGAATAGCAACAAGATTTAGCTCAAACGCACTACTTAGGATTGAATTAATGAACGCTTCTTATTTTATTTGAACAAACCATTAGTCTTTTATTAGTGTCTTGTTAATGTCATCTGTCATAACTTAAATAACAAAAAAATGCACATTTACAAACTTTTATTCTGCTGATATTTTATAGTCACTATCATCTGTCATAATGTAAATAGTAAGAAGATTCTCCTTTTGTTTGTGGAAATTATTAGTATTTTAATGATCTCTTATCAATATCATTTGTCATAACTTAAATAGCAAAGATGGTCAATTACACTAGTAAATAGAATTTTAAGAAACGTTCCTTTTTATACAAAATCTATACAAAACTTTAGTTTTTTGATATTATTGTGTCAATGTTCTTGTTAATACTTTAATTTCGTTTGCAACATTAACTAGTCAATAGGTATATTTTTAAAACAAATATTCAATATATTGCTTTCAAGCTATGATACTGTAAGAAAATGAATTATATTTAATACAAAAATAAATCATAATTTGTATTTTTTTTTAAATTGTATTCTATTATGATATTAAATGATATCATAGAATAACTAAATAATTAACGTTTGTAATTTTAAATTATTGTAAAGTATTATACAGGGTGGCCCATCGAAAACGTTCCGCAAGGCATAACGGCCAGGGTAATTTTTTTTTCAGAAAATTCAAAAACACGTCAATTTTGGTTGTGAGGGGGACAACTTTTGCCCCAAAAATGATTGCAAAATCTTCAACCCTCTGAGCGGGGGTGTCATCCCCCAATTTTTTTCAAATGGGACGGGGGGTCAAGTGGTACCGCAATGAAAAGGGCTTTCTATTATCTATACTTTCCCACTTCGTTTTAGAAAATCGGTCGAGTCATTGAGAAAATATGAAGGATTGAAATTTGAAAAGTTTATCTAAACATTTATCAGAGTAAATGATGAGGATAAATTCCTTCTGAAAAGAACAGCCCGCATGCTGTTCCAGAAAGAATAGTAAACGATATATCAAAGAGCCACCTTTCTTAAAATACTTTCTTGAAAACGTTGCTAGCTCTCTTAGACTATAAGAATATACATATATCCGAAACATCTTTTCCTTATTACCTGTGACTTCAATTGCTGAGGAAAAAGGTTAGATTATGCTTGCACTAATGAGATGAGTGCCAGGTAGCAATGGGGGTGTGTCTTATTTATGAGGATAAAAATAAACCTATAGGGAACTATTTGTTCCTGGTTGTATTATCGGTGGTATTATAGCCTCCAAAGGAAAAATAAATAAAGATTTTTAAATTATATCTACCGGGTGCGTCTGAAAAGTGGCTCACCCCTATCACTTTTTTATTTTTTTAGTTAAAAAACGAGATTTGGTATGTTAGTATAAATTAGGATTGATTGACGTATTCAATTGTTTTCGGTCACTTCCTGTTTCACCGGAAATAACTAGAACTTTTGATTTTTAAATGGCACCCTCGGTATTTTTTTTACTTTATTCGATTGAAAATAACACTCTGAATAGAATAACATACCATAATATGAAGGATTGAAATTTGAAAAGTTTATTTAAACATTTATCAGAGTAAATGATGAGGATAAATTCCTTCGACCAATTTGCTGTTTTTTGTTATTATTTCTAGATGTTTTTGCATTTTTTCACTTGCCACAAGGTTGAACGATCAGAGGTGCGGTAGTTGCTAGATAGCTGTTCTGTGACTTGTGCGTTGAAGTTCTTCTCAATACCGTTAAACTTTTTAACAATTATGGTGTACCCACTTGCAGAAAAACTGAAAATAATCGAACTTTATTTTAAAAATAATGAATGGGGCAATCGGATTGCGCAGATATTCAATGAACGCCATCCTAACAAACACCTTTATGGCAAAATTGTTCGTGAGTTAGTAGCAAAATTTCTGCTGCGAAAATCCTGTAGTAAATGAAGCTATTGAGGTATTCGTATTAGGCCAAGTTGCCAAGTACGCTGAGTACAAGAAAATTAGCCAATGAGACCGGTGTGAATCGTACAAGCGTCCAAAGGATATTAAAAAAAGTTCCACAATAAAAAAAAAGCAAATTGGTCGAAGGGATTTATCTTTATCATTTACTCTGATAAATTTTTAAATAAACTTTTCAAATTTCAATGGGGGCCACCCCGTAATGTCGTAACACCGTATGTTTTTCTTAAGTTATATGAGATTGTAATGATAATGTCAAGCATTAAAGCTTATTGTTTGTATTATTTAGTATTTACTTGTTATTTATAAAGACTGCTCTGTAAACACACATTGTTCTTGTTATTTAATGAAAAAAATAAATCGAAATAAACTGATTTTTATAAAAAAAACTACATGACGCCTTTTTTGTTCCAGGTCCTCTCCACCAAACCGTCACAACGACTATGGACATAGAAATATGCAACTCTTAAATGTGATTTAAACTTTGTACAAAGTGTAAATGTAGTGTCCCAGTGTTTAGATAAATTTTAACAAATGGAAAAATATAAAAATATACACACATGTCTCTCACTCAACACAACACACAAACCAAAATACAAATACACACAACCACGCAAGAAAGGAAAATACGAATAAATAGTAAATAACGGCATATACAACCAAACCACTATGGACCGGACTTGTACAAAAGTATTAAACTTAATAATTGTATTGACTGCTGTATATAGAAATAGTGAAATGGGGCTATGGGTAATACCCCGAAGTGGTGTTACAGAGCCTGAATATTACTTATACATATAAATGAAATAATAGGTTTGTTTACTAAAATTGCAACAACAGTGATGTGGTATCGTAGGTTAGGTTCCCTAATGTGTTACCTACTTTTTTGACAACCTCGTCCTTACATCCCCTAAACTCTACAGAGATAAAAATATAACATGATCTCAAATAAATATAATTAACAACAAAATAAATATTTTTATTTCTTACTGAGTCATAACTACGACTTGGTTATTACTCGCTAAAGGGCATTATTAAACAACTTAAAGGTTGATTAATTAACTTTAATCTTAATTTTTTTAAACCAGTACCTTTTGACATTATTTTGCTGCAGTACTACAATCCATTATTTACCTATCGTGTGATGTCGATATTTTACAGCTACTCCAGTTTTTCCACTCAGTGTTTTGTTTGATCCTTCTACCATATACGAGATGCACTTATCTACGACGAAATGGTATACAAACTTTATCGATGGCAACTTCATTGGTGTATAAGACTTTCTGCCTGGGCAGCGACTATTAACTATAAACTATGCTCTGGGTCTACAGTTAAGTTTCCTTCGATTTTTCCTCCACTTGACGTCAAAAGACACAAAACAGCACGAATCAAAATGCATCATCTTCGAAAACGCAGATATTTGACATAAGTTGACACAAAATTATAACCTATAATTTGGCAAGACTTTGATAAGCCTCAAAAATATAAAGGCGAGTTCATATGCATCGGCATCCGTTTGTCGTTCATCGTTCCGTCAAACCAATAAAATTGAAATATGATCTGTAATTTTTGAAATAAACCAATAGAACTGGTTAAAAACAACAAGAGACGACGTATGACGGATTTATATTTAAACCCATCCATATTTAACTTAAAATATATTAGAAACTTTTTTTAGTAAAATATATAGATTGGTATGGGACGTGATCTGCTTTTCTTCTGTCATGGTTTGTCGAAATCTTACATGAGAAGAAAAACAGAGTATAGTAACCTAGCAACAAAGTTCCTACAAGCAGCGTTTGTATCGGTTTAAAATGGGGCAAATTATACTAAATTCAGTAAGAAATAAAATTATCTGTGTATTTTATTTTGACTATTAACACCTTTATAATTCCCTTGGTATATAAAAAACTATAATTTTGGATTGATTTTTACGTTATTTTTTGGTTTATTATTAACTTCTCTTAGACAATGACATTCATTCTTATTAAATGTATCAAAATCTACAATAAATGCAGTCACAAGTAGACTATATTCTACACCAACATTCAGTTTGATATATTTGTTAATTATATTTATTTTTGATCAGACCATAGCATCAGCCGCCATCTCTGAACTCATTCCCATATTCCTTTCATCCCTCAAAAAACCTCATCCCTTAATTCACACTGTAGTGTACGCTAGTGTATTGAATATTTTAGTGATTAGTGCTGTTTGTATGGATAAAGTGTTATATCTCGATCTCAATCCAGAACACTAAACAGATTTCCCTTTCCCAGATTCATTTTGAATTCTATTTTATTTTTATCACAACAGTTTAGGATCTGAGACACACTTACTTTTTTTTGAAAACTGTATGCTGTGACGTACAAATTCATGACTGTGAGATTAGTTTTGGGACTTTTTCAAAATCTATAATGTTTATCACATAAAAAAGATATGTGGAAATTGGTTTAGAGATGCCAAGCTATACAGGGTGAGTGTTAAATAAGTGCAAATATTTTTAGGGGTGGTATATTTCGAGCCTAAGGACACGTCTATGAGGTTTTTTTGCAAAAAAAATGTTAGAAATCGTGCTTTTTCTTTTAAATTTTCCTTTATATTTTAGAAAACATTTTATAACTGCCTGTTAACCGCAAATCTTCTAATCTGATATTACCATGATTACGGCTTTATACTATGGTTACGGCACTAAAAAGGATGCAAATAGAAAAAAAAATCCGGTAATTTTTTTAAAATAAATCCTTTTTTTTTATTTTCCAACTTTAATAACTCGGTTATTTTCAATCTATTTAAAAAACGCTAAAGAGAAAATATGTTTCTTTCACCAAGATCTACCAGCCTTGAAAATATTTTATTGCACTTATTTAAGACTCACCCTGTATATACAGTAAAGTTTTAAAATTTAGAATAAAAGCTAATAAAAGTTCAAAACTAATTTACTGTACATGTTTGTTATAATTTAACACGCATAGTTAGTTTATATATTTATGTCTATGAAATCCAACAAATAGCATATTATTCACTTTACAACATCATAATTATTGCATAATATTTTATATTGCGTTAATTGTAAATTATTTTATAAAAAACGAAATATTTTCTGATAAATCCAACTCACGAACTTGTAAAATGTGTTAATTCTCACTTTAGTGAAACTACTGGAACCCAATTTAGAATCTTACTTACTACTCTTGTGACAGATTTATTTCTAAATTAGTTCCTGTAACTACTGAGGCTAAAATATTCGCTTAATATGTGCACTAGTGTCTCTGTTTCATCTCACTTTTTATCATCATGTTTGAACATGTGCGGCATGTATAAACTGAAAAGAAAAGGTTGTGCAGATATGTAAATTTTTCTAGTTGTTATATCTGTTGTGATTTTTTCAGCTGTTTTAAACAAACCCTTTTAAGTTACCCTCCAGACTCTCCTAGATTATGTTTTGTTTTTGAGGTAAAAGGTACAAAATCGGGAAAAATACGACCTGTATATAAATCGGGATTTTCTGGAGGGTATGCCTATATATCCCTACAAAGATATACGATATACGTAACAAAATGAACCTAAAAAGGTACTAACATGATCGAGAACGTCACTAATGTGGCGTTCCAATTATACCTAGGGTTAAATATCATATACACAAGTATACAGATTGTTGCAAAATCCTCAGGTGGTTAGATTTTTCGATATACGAACTTTTAGTTTCGGAAATTTAGCTTATTAAAGAGAAAAAGGTGTTAGTTTAAGTTGAAAAATTTGTCGATCAAAACTTATAGTAAATATGTCGTGTAGACTTAATAAAAATTGTCTAGTAGAGCTATAACACCATCCTGACGATTTTGGTAAAAGCTAAACTAATAAACTCAAAAAAATAAGTCTACAGAAGCGGTACTTCGGGACTCTTCGGGATAAATCGCTGGTCAGGCAAGGTTGTTATTGTTAAAGTTATAAGAAGCGATGACATCGAAAGAGTACGAAGATACTGCTTTCTTTAGTGTTCGTAGGATGCCCATTCCTTCAACCTCAACGGTCAGACACAAACGTATACGAGCTTAGTGATGTTATAGGTTATTATTATTATTATTGTAATTATCGTAAAAATTATCGTACACAACCATTTGACTTAGGGGTTTTGAGGAAGTTTGGGATGATCCAGGAGCAGGATCTGTTCGTTTATCTGGCCTTTTTTTTCCTACAAAAGTATCGTTAATGTTATCTTTGCCTCTGATATTACTAAAATATTTATTTCAAGGAATAAAAAATATTTGAAACTACACATCATTTGTCGATAGTTAAAAACATCTTTTCTGTCAATTCTCTGCTTGGTTTGTTTTAAAATTCGTTCAAAAAGATCTATAAGTAGATAAGTTTGACATCAATTCAATAATTCTATTCATCTACTGTTGTCAATTTATAATTTCGACTATAAAGAGTTGTACATACGATTCAAAAAACAGGTAAATGTTATAAAAATTATATAATGCACGTTTGTTAACTAAAAACAAAAGAAAATAAGTTGTTAAAGAAGATATTTTAGAAAATAAAACTCAAACAATTTATCACAATGCATAATTTTTTATTATATGATTCGCATCTTTTTTTAAAGTAATCACTATAATATAAAAACAAGAATTCTCTGTTTTTAGTTTTAAGATCATTTGAGAACAATAATTATAATATAAAATGTATTTTAATTTAAAAAAATAAAACAAGGAAAGTATATATTACAAATATAAAATAATATTCAAATATACACTCAGATGCAAAAACAACGGAAAAATTTTTGGTCAAGTCATTTCGCTCTCAAAAATTAACCAAGGCATGAGTCAAAAAACAAAATGTTTAGGAGACATGATTCTGATCGAAAAGTAATATTTTCGGAAAAATTACTCACGAAATTATTGCACAGGGTGTTTTAAAGTTAAAGTAAAAACAACCCTTTAATTAACCCTGTATTATAAGCCGAATACTAAAGTTTATAACAAACTGAGTTTATGAATGATTGAGTTGATAGATTTACATACAGTTTGTTAAAAAATTCGCGTAAATAGAACTAAAAGTAAGAAAAATATGAAACTTCACGAAAAAATTTTCCGTTGAGTTTTTTCTTGCATCGCAGTGTATATCAAATAAAATTAACAAAATAATGTTTGTAATAAAAATAAGTAAATTATTGCAATTATTTAATAACAAAAATATAGATACGCTACTGGAACAATTAAGTAGAATTCGTAAAAAAGTTGACATATCCTAATAATTATAAAAAAAAATTGTAATTTTTTTATTGAGTATGAATATAGAATGGTTTGAAGATAATGAGTTTTTTTAATACTGTTATATTTAATAACGAAATATTACTAAGTCCAGATAAACCCACAGATCTTGTACGATTACAAATAGTATCCCTCCTTTTGTATTATTGTTTCGATGTTTTATGTTTAATTCTGCGTTACCTATGTTAAAGCCTGAGCCAATCCGTGGTCCCCATTGTGTGTATACCATTTTACACAAACCTTACAACTTATATAGTTTTTGATTTAATATACTCTATGGTGTTTTGTATATAGTGTAATAAGTATTTATGCCTAGCCTAATGATTAGTATACAAGAAAAAGGGCTCAAATCACTTGAGTCCGCCCCTGATTGGACCTCGGATTGGATTATTGGCTACTTAGTCTAGCCAAATTGTATTTTTGGGGGGAATGTTTTGGGGTGGTTCTAATTTTTTGGGTTTTTTTTGTTTTTTTGGGACGCTGAATCTGAAGTTTCTGAAATGCAAAAAAAACGTAAAAAAATATAATTTCTGTCCTTTCTTGTTTCTAAAACCTAATTTCAACTTAAAACTAAAAAAAGTACTACAGAGTTTAATAATAAAATAAGAGTTTTGGAGTAGAGAATGTAGGTATTTGCGGAGACAACCCAAAAACGCTAATTTTTAATTGGCTATTAAGCCCGAACAGTCTTTTTGTAAAAAAAACTTAAATAACAAAAATTATAGGAAATTGTATGTATAAGGGATGCCAAATAAACTTTCAGTCACGTGATTATGCTTGATCGACACAGCGTTGCCCACTTTTACATATTTTCTTTTAATCGAAATATTTTAGGGAACAAAAATAAAT